ATGCAGAATCGCCTCGCTACGCGACGGGAAAGGCCCTATCTCTCGAGATAAAAGTGACGAGAGAACAAGCGAAACCGTTAAACGAAACGTACGAGACAAAAGGCGCGGACGAAAACGATAAGGATATCGTCGTAACATTGTGCAATGTCGCGTGTTCGCGCTGGCATAAAAACGCGATTGTCTCGCGTAACGAACGAAACTTCTCCTCGCTAGATATCCAAACGGACGTTTGTATTTCTTTATCGTTTATATTTCGATAACAGTCGTCGCATTTGTAAGCTGCGAAAAAAAAAGTACGAGATACGGCGCCCCAGTGTCAAAACTGCCGGCCTCAGGCCCGGCACTTGTTGCAATCTGTCTCTTCTAATTAAAGGGAAAAACGAATAAATCCTCTGTTCTGAAACAGCTGTGCCCCCCCCCCCTCCCCGCAAACTTCAAGTCTCACCCTTCGTCACGGAAAGCTGCGTGCGGAGTGGTCGCGTCCGCGCACGCGCCGTCGATGAAACGACGAGGGTGGGGCAGCTCGTGAACAGAGAGGCTCGCGCGGTATCGAGCGGGAGAAAGAGAGAGAAGGAAGACGCGACAGGGCGCCAGGGGGAGGGGGAAGGCGTTACTTGCGCGTGCTGTCAAAATATATACACGGTGCGTCAGGGTGCACGCGCGGGGCTCCTCGGGGGCATCTCTCGGAGAAGATAACAGGATCGTCTCCTCTCCCTCCCGCCCCGCCGCCTCTCTCGCGCACCCGCGACGACCGCCGTCCGCCCGACGCGATTTCGGGTCGCCCGTTGCGTGCGGACGCGCGAGCCTCCCGCGTCGAGATCGCCAGGTCGATAACGTCCCGACGAGCGTCGCCCTTTTACCCCGGGTCGAATTCTGCCGAGACGCGCGACGAGCGCGACGACATGACTCGCGGGACTCGACGCGACGCGGCGTGACGAGGTTCCCCGCCCGTGTACAACAGCCGCTAACACTGCCACGGGTCTGCTCTCCCCCTCGCGAACGGGCGAACAGCTGAGTCGAAATGGAGTCGGCGGGAGTCAGCGGTGGCCAGAACCAGTCCAACGTCAACGACTGTTCCGACACCAAGGGCAGGCAAGTGTTTCATCGTCGTCTTTTCACGATCCCGCCACTTCTAGCCGCGGATTTCTGCCACCCTCTGGGACTAAGTAGACGAGCCTCTTCCTCTCGGGGCCCGGTCTGCAATGAGTCGTTAGAAGTCGGAAGCTGTACGCCGGTCCTTTTCCTTTCACCCAGCAAGTTTGTGTAGTTCCGACATGTAGTTCCGACTTCTGACCAGCAGGCAACAGACTCGAGCCTTGTTTAGTGTCGCATCTTTGAAGAATGTCTCTACCTGCGAAGTAAACTAAAGTCGTCGCTGCAAAATAATCAATTTTAAGGTCTAACTATAAGAAAAAGGTCCGACAGACAGTTCTCACTTTTGATTAACGACCCAGACAACACACGTGTCTAAAACACGTCGTAAAGGTATCTGAGATATCTCTTAGCTGCACACGTCTAAGAGACAGCTTAAAGATGTCTTTTAGACATTCGTACTGTCCGGGTAACAACTCGTTGCAGACCGGGCCTTATATTTTCTGCCCCGTCTGATCAGTTGGCGACAAGCTTTGACGGGTTTAACGGAAACTGCTGTAGTCAGAATTGTAACTGTGCCTTTTGTTGTTGCAGTTGCTTGCTGCTTCGCTATGCCAGCCAAAATTCTCTGGACGAGAGCTCGCAGAAGCACATTCCCCGGGAAAACGGGAAGGACAAGCCGCCGTACAGGAATCACCATCATACGAATCGAGCCTTCGATGTCATCAACGAGATGAGGAAGTACGCGTCCTTCGCTCAGCACTGAAATATATCGCCTGACATTTACAAAGTCGAGCCTTGTTCAGCGTCGCATCTTTGAACAGTGTCTCTACCTGAGAAGTAAACTGTCGCCGCTGCGAAATAATCAATTTTAAGAACTTTATCTCTCGACTGAACGCTCTAATTGTTTATTTATCTTTTTAAAGAAATATGTTGAAACGGAATTTAAAATATCACAAAGATATGAAAAAACCACTTGTAGAAACACAAGTCGATTTCTCTTCCGTACAAGTTTGCCACGTGTCAGTTATGACAGTTGATGTCTCAGGTGCAGATGTGTTAATATATTGTTATACACGTTAGGCGTACGTCCAGGTAGAACATAAAATGTTCTCACGTGACATCATGATGACGTCATTATGACCTTAGTCATCGCTTACAAGATGTATTAACGTCATCTCAACTTCGATCATCGGGGAATCGATTCTGTATCTTATATAGTGCAAATGCTAAAAATGAACGGCTTTGTCTCTTAGGAGGTAGTTGGAAAGAGACTAAGCTGCTCACTATAGTGTAAGGCCCGTATTCCGAACCCTCTTTTATCAATAAAAGCGCCTCTGTAAGTGGATTGCAGCCGATCAGAAGATTTTGGCCCACATCCCGAATCCTCTTTTATCGATAAATGAGGATTTAGAATACGGGCCTTATTAGGCGCTTTTATAGATAAAAGAGGGTTCAGAACACGGGCCTAAGATGCAGAATTGACCCCCCAGGACTCACTGTTCTACCTGGGCGTACCGCGTTACCCGCGAGAACTATTCGTAGGATGAACACATTCGAATAACGTGCTATTGTTGCTTAGGAAAAATTTACTCTGCGACGTGATTCTGGCAGCGGACGGCGGTATGGAGGTACCGGCTCACAAGATGGTCCTCGCCGCGTGCAGCCCTTACTTTTACGCCATGTTCACGAGTTTCGAGGAGCGCGATCAGCAGAGGATAACGCTGCAGGGCGTGGACTATTCGGCGCTGGTGTTACTGGTGGATTACGTTTACTCCGCCGAGGTCCACGTCACGGAGGATAACGTACAGGTGCTCCTACCCGCTGCAAATTTGCTGCAACTGACGGACGTGCGGGACGCCTGCTGCGATTTCCTGCAGGCGCAGCTACACCCGTCCAATTGTCTCGGGATCAGGGCGTTCGCGGATCTGCACGGGTGCCTCGAGTTGCTGGCGCACGCGGACAGTTACATCGAGCAGCATTTCTCGTAAGCCGCGTCTCGATCCGTTCAGATCGTATCAGGCGGTCGCGTTGATTGCGCACTTAACATCGATTGCAGGGAGGTGGTCGACGCGGAAGAATTCTTAACGCTGGCACCCGAACAAGTGGCCAAACTTATCTGCAGCGATCGCTTAATGGTACCTTCCGAGGAGAAGGTGTTCGAGTGCGTTATCTCGTGGGTGCACCACGATCTTGAGAAGAGGCAAAACGACCTGGCTCTGTTGATGGAGCACGTGCGCTTGCCCTTGCTCTCGCAAGAGTATCTGGTACAGCGTGTGGAGGAGGAACCGCTTCTCAAGGCAAACTTACAATGTAAGCTCGCTATTACGATGTACGTGCCAAACGAAGATGGGCATAATTTTTTTATTTTCGCAGGCAAGGATTTCTTGATCGAAGCTTTGAAGTACCACTTGCTGAAGGGCGAGCAAAAGTCGCTGTTCAAGACACCGCGTACCAAACCGAGGCAACCGAGAGGTCTACCCAAAGTACTGCTCGTTGTCGGTGGCCAAGCTCCAAAGGCGATCAGGAGCGTCGAGTGCTTTGACTTTAAGGAGGAAAGGTGGTATCAAGTTTCCGAGCTACCAACACGACGCTGTAGAGCCGGTAAGCAGTCAATTTGCAGCGGAATAATACACGGCTGTACTGTATTGAAATCGAGATTGAAATGAAAGGAAAAAATTAACATGAATTCTCGTTAATGTGTCCAATCAAATGGAATTGCAAATAGCCATCGAGTTATCTGAATAACTCATGTATCGTTAATTATAATTAAGTGCGATTATTCTGATAATTTACACACCAACAACCGCATTGTATTGGACTGCAGGACTCTGTGTTCTCGGCGGACGCGTATACGCCGTCGGTGGATTCAACGGATCGCTGAGAGTACGAACGGTGGATATTTACGACGCCGCGGCGGATCAGTGGTCACCCTGTCCCGAGATGGAAGCGAGGAGATCGACGCTCGGTGTGGCCGTGCTCGGCAATTGCGTTTACGCTGTACGCTATCACATTTTCCTCTTTGTATCTTATATTCTTTACCGGCGAATTTCTCGTCGTAACTAAAATTCAAAAAAATTTCAATTAGAAGACACTGCCTCCGTTCTTTTCTCTCTGCAACGACCGATATTTTACGTGCACAGGTCGGTGGCTTCGATGGTTCGACGGGACTGAACTCGGCTGAAGTTTACGATCCACGGACTCGCGAATGGAGACCTATTGCACGAATGTCAACGCGGCGTAGCAGCGTAGGAGTCGGCGTCGTCAAGGGATTGCTCTACGCCGTAAGTTTATGTCAGGTATCGTTACCTCGTCCATAACATGTTTAATACGGAGAGACATGATTAGGTCGGTGGCTACGACGGAGAGTCTCGGCAATGTCTCTCCAGTGTCGAGTGCTACAATCCGGAGAAGGATCAATGGAAACCCGTACCTGAGATGTCCGCGCGTCGCAGCGGTGCGGGAGTCGGTGTCCTGGACGGTATCTTGTACGCGGTAGGAGGTCACGATGGTCCACTAGTACGAAAAAGCGTAGAAGCCTTTAATCCGGAGACGAATCAGTGGACTCCTGTCAGTGATATGGCATTGTGTCGTCGTAACGCCGGTAGGCGATTGATACTCGTTTTTTTTTTACATTTTCTTCTTTCTTCACGTTATAATCTCTTCTGCACGAATAATAATTTTCTTCGTCGCAGTAATTAAATAACAGTCGAATAATATTTATTTGACCACAACTGTTATAAATTTAATTTGGAAAACTATTGCGAAAAATATTACCTCAGCCAGCATTGCCTCAATGGTGAAATCCAAACCTTGGTTTTTCGAATTAAATGTATAGTTAGTTGTGGTCAAATTAATATTATTCGCCTCTTCTCGTAAGCCTGACATAAAAATAAATGCCGTGTCAAACAGGTGTTGTGGCGTTAAACGGACTTTTGTACGTGGTGGGTGGGGACGACGGTTCCTCCAGTTTGGCATCGGTAGAGGTGTATTCGCCAAGAACCGATACGTGGACCACGCTGCCGACTTGCATGGGAGTCGGGCGTAGTTACGCAGGTGTGGCGATCATCGATAAGCCGATGGCCCCCGCGGCGACAATGTGAGGTCTACAATCCGCTGGGCATGCGACGGAACAAAGCACGGACCTGGGTGCCGAGATATCGGACTCCTCGCGGGAAGCCGGGCCCAGCGGTATGCAGATACAAAATCGCGGCGCCAGCCACAATTGCCAAGGGCCGCGTTGCGTTTGCCAGAGATACGAGAACGGCGAATTAGCCGCGGTAATAATGAATCAAGGCAGGAGCAATCAGGAGAGGGAGGACGGCTATCAGAACGCGGGCCATGTCTCGCGTGCCTTTCAAAATCGTCCCAACAACAACGCGCTACAGATACATCCGAATCTGAATCCGAATTATCAAAATCCGATTGATCTGATACGCATTTACAATCGTCGACTGCAACAGCAGCCACAGCAGCAGCAGCAGCAACAGCAGCAAGAATCGGAAGAAAATATTTACGAGCGTTTGGACAATGACGACGATGAAGACGATGATGAAAGCGCGGAGGTCCCTCGGAACGAACCGCTAGCGCAAAACAATCAGGGTAACATAGATAATCATATGTACGAACGAATAGGCGAGCGGATATCGTGTAGCAGTAGAGCTCATTGTCATTATTATAAGTATCATGCACCTACTTTTTTCAACGACGTGGAAAGCGCCAGAAATGTGAGCCAATACGATCAACCTAGACACATCTATATCGATTATTCTCGACTAAGCAGCAACATCCACCAAAACTCTCTAAGCAGATTAGGTCGCAATTGCTTCTCCACGGAGAACATAGCGTACGCGTCTACGAAACGCTCCCTTCATCCGATTGTGTATAACTGCACGTGCCCGTTCTGTAGGAACGTGGACGTGAGATACATGTGTCACCACTGTCACAATCTGTACAACAGACTACGATATCAGGACACTGCCAACTCCAGGCACTACGTGTACCAAGTCTCGAGAAACTGCAGGTGCGCCTTTTGCCGCGGCGAGTACTCGTACGCCAAGTTCCCCGCTCTTCGCGCCGCTGAACTGTTGAAGATGGAATGTTGTCACTGTAGGAACCCAGCTAATTGCAACTGCCGCAACAAAGCGGCGTCCGATCCGAATTCCACCATCTACATCGGACGCTACCTGGACTGGATTAATCGGGCCGGACAGTCCGTTAACAATCCTCTATACGCCATGATTCACGTCGGCAGGATGGACCGCGCTTCTGTGTCCGGCCACGGGAATGCGTCCAATAGCGGAAACCCGTCGAACGGTGTTGACCCCGGCCCGTCGACGTCCGGCAATGCGGCGTCCAATGCAAGATTCAACGAGCCGAGTTCATCCTCAGTTCTGCGATCAGTATTCGCCCCCGGCGCTTCTACCTCGAATGCCCCTATCTGCCCCGTAAATCGCTACGTGGAACATCAGCACACCTGCGACGACTCCTGCATCCGCAGCCAAAGCGGCAGTCTGACCGGGATATGTCAGCTTCTCGGCAGATGCGAGAGAACGGAGTGCAATCACGGACGACTCTCCGTGCACTGGTGGTTCGTGAACAAATGGCTTCCCCTGTGGAACTCGCACAATCTCGACAGGCACGTGGACGGCGCGCCGCCGTCCGTAGATGAGATCTCGCGGGAACAGCGAGAGAGCGACAGCGACGATTCTTAAATCGTTATGAGAATCTGTTTATCGTTGAGAGTGCCTGTTTTGCGTATTCCGAGCGATTAACTCGTCCCATTAATTTCCATTACACGTGATGCGATTGTTGCTCATCGACTCACTCGTAGCGCGAATAGCGGACAAGCTTGTTGAGACACTTGATAACAATGACTTTAGGTACATGTCCCATGACAATAAATTCACATATTTCAAAGCGATTTCCAAATATTTCGAGGATATTTAAACGGAACTGTTTTCAATTCAAAGCAATAAGTATCCAGGTGATATTATTTTTAACTGCTAATTTACTCTTGTCGCCCCACATATCTTATCCGAATGTCGATGTATTCTACATTCACGTAGATGTGTTCCACATTCTAGAGCGAACACCTGCCGAGTTTATGCTATTGCTACAATATACAACGTGATGTGTGCTAACTTTTACATTATTTATTCATTAATACTTTTAGAGACGCCGCACGTTATCGGGGATACATAATCACACTTTTTCAGAAGTATTGGATAACGATCGCTTGGGAATTATATCGACTATATCAATGTATATCAATATTTAATAGCCGTAGATCTTAGAGACGTTTTAGCACTTTTGACACCCGTTGATAAATTCAATTAAGTCGACGTTTTAGCTGTGATATAAATTAGATTGAAAATTATATTTAATTTATCGAACAAATCCTGCGTTAAGATCATTTGTACTGTGGTCTTGAGTTTGTTCGCGTCGCGTATGCTTCCTAAATTTTCTGCGGATTTGAAGCGGGACAAATCAATACAAAGACTATACGGAAATACTTTTATATAAGGTACGCGCGACGCAAACGAATGTTATTGATAGACGTAAACTTTTTGCGTAAGACAGTTGCTTGTTTCGCGTCTTGTTAACTTGTATAATACATGTATAAGCGTTATTCTTTATGAAATTTGTATTTATACTAATGTAATCAGTATTAAGTTATTTTTACACGACACTTTTCGATCATTCAGTCCCCATGAGTGTTCGCGCTATCGTCGGTGCTTTCCGATAATTGTACAAACGCTCATTCAGAAATAAAAGTATTCGCCACACGATCCTGGCGTTGTCAATAGCTCGCGAAACGACCGGTTCTCTAAAAAAAAAAAGTCCGAGGTAACGTATGGCGCCAACATTTACGTCTTAAATTGCGTGTGCGTGCGTGCCTGCACGCATATGGCGCGCACAGCACTTCCAAACGAAATATCCTCTGTGAAAATAATTTTATTAACGATTGTATGCTTATTGTCTTTTCAGAAGGCTAAATAACGTTTGTGTACTACTTAGCTTACTATAATCATATCCGGCATTAAAAATACCAGTGTACATACATGTGCCTTGTGCCTAAGGACTCTCGCAGAACAGAACAGCGTGTTGCCAAGCGTACAAATGATATAACTTTAGTTTGAAATTGCCTTATGTGGCATTGATCGAATAATGAATTAAATCTCCTTCTTCGCATCGAAACGCGCGTTGATTGCGAAACTTTTCTAATGTAAACCAGTCATTCTGTTATCATTGTAATTAATTCTAATGTGTACGATCGTTTTCTTGAGTGTCTTGAGAGGGACCTGGCCAAGTACTTCTAATTTTTCTTTCGTAGAAAATGAAATTCTGGTCGTCGTTCAACTTTTTTAGATCCCCTTTGCAGAAAGCTTTATTATTTTAACAAAGAATTCTAGACGATAGAAACGAAGATCAGAACTCAATATCAAAATACGTACAAAACTACGAAAGTAACATACGTTCGTTTTTGCAACAGAATAGATTCTTTGGACTCGGCACATTTGTAACTTCTCACCTCGGAACCAGATCAAAATTTTATTTTATATATATATATATATATATATATATATTATATAAAGCTCTGGTACACATACATATATACATGCATGTCTCCGTACCAGGACCTTTTTGTTTACGCCCTCGCGAGCGTCAAGGCCAACCGCTATCACTTCGATATTACAGCGGTTCTAGCATCAATTTAGCGCTTAACACTGGCGTTCAGCGAAGACAATTTGTATCGTTAAAGTGCGTAACACGACACGCATATCGAATTCCTTAGTCTCGCGCGATACATTTGCGATTCCTCGCCGAAAATGCGATACCGAAGAAAGGTCGTATATTCGAGGGTACGGCGGCGGCTCCGGCTGACGAGGAGGGACGAGACCCACGATACAGCCGGGACAATCTGAAATTGAAGTCGTAAGGGAGAAACAGTACGCTATTGCGTAAGTGTCATTGGTACATTATGATCGATAGCCGGATAGCGACACTCCAAGTATGTGGGCGTTGGCACCTTGTCGCCTTCGAATTCCATTTCGTTTCTCCCGGCCGCTCTCGGCTCGGCTCGAAATCCCCGACACGGGGATGCGAGACGAGTTTTTTTTTTTTTGTTATTCAACGACAACGGGTTCATATCCGTCTGTCGCTCATCGGTTCGCGGGGAGACCAAGCCGCGCAAAGTGTTGCGCGATAAAAACGAATTTATCGCGACCGTTACGCGTGCATAATCACGCGTGAATCATGGAATTGTCGCGCGAGAGTGCCCCGCGCTCCGTGAGTTGCGAAACCGCGGCCGTCGTATGCGTCACGTCTGTGTGTGTGTGTGGCGCGCAGGCCATTTTTTTCCCTTTCTTCTAATAATCTCACGCGGTTTCGGTTCCGGTTGGACTTGCTGCACGGCCTTGTAAAAAATAAAGGATGCAATGTACTGTAGCTAACGCGATATACAGGGTGTCCTAAAACCACCGGAGGTCCTCTTAATGACAGATTCCTTAGAACATTTCCAGACGAAAATCCTAATACAAAAGTGTCGAGGCTATAATAGTTTTTAAATTAGAAGCGATTATTTTCCACAAATGATAGGGCTGAAATTTCGCGCGCTCAGGAACGGTGAAATGACAAGTGATATAAAAAGAACGATATTCATAGGAGCACTTATATCACTTGTCATTTCGCCGTTCCTGAGCGCGCGAAATTTCAGCCCTATCATTTGTGGAAAATAATCGCTTCTAATTTAAAAACTATTATAGCCTCGACACTTTTGTATTAGGATTTTCGTCTGGAAATGTTCTAAGGAATCTGTCATTAAGAGGACCTCCGGTGGTTTTAGGACACCCTGTATACTCTTAATGTGTTTTTAACCAATCACAGAGCCGTATTGGCATTTTAAGACAAGACTTAAGATGATATGAATACTGGCCTAAGAAACAATTACTGTACCTACTTGTATGTAATTAATTATTTTAGGCATAGAAAAGTAAATGTCTTATTTATATTAATTTTAGGCATAGAATAATTATTTTAAGCATAGAAAAGTAAATGTCTTACTATTTATATTAAATTTAATTTACTATCTTTATGTTGTACGTATA